GAACGCCACCTCAGCATGGCTTGATGAGGCAAAAACCCTGGGGCGCCAAAGCAGAGTGCGTGAACTTAACCTCTCCGCCACAGGGCCGGCCTCTGCTAGGTGTTTTATAGTCAAGGCCCAAAGCCCACTGAAGATCATGCTTTGAAGTCTCAGGAGTGTGAAAGATGCTTAACTCACACCTAACAAGTGAGATACAATTTTTTTTTCTTTTTGGTGAAGAAGAGTGGCCCTGAGGTAACATCTGTGCCCATCTTCCTCTATTTTGTATGTGGGTTGCCACCACAGCATGGTCTGCACCTGGGATCTGAACCCACGAACCTGGGCTGCAGAAGTAGAGCATGCCAAACTTAACCACTATGCCACTGGGCTGGCCCCAAGTTACAAATTTTGATGGTCACAGATACCATTTTTTCATCCATTAGATGGGCAGAGTTCAAAGAACCCTGTAACACATCAGGTTGGCAACACTAGTTGTTGATGGGAGTGAAATCAATTCCCTTTCTTTGGAGGGCAAGTTGGCATTATTCGTGAAAATTATGCACATGACCTCTGACCTTGCAAGTCCACATCTAGAGATTTCTCCTACAGGTACTCTTGTAGACGCCCAGAGGCAAAGGGGCAAGACATCAAGGTAGTGTTTGTGCTCAGAGGACAAACTACCTAAACGCTCAAGGAGGGGCTGGTTAGATACACGACAGGGTATTGATACGATGGACTCCTAGGCAGCTGTTGAAAAGAGAGGGCAATGATATGGATTCTATAATGTTCTGTGAGCAAAAAGAAGCAAAGTATGTAATGCTGAGTAATAACTTAAGAAATGAATATGCACACACATATGGTTGTATGTCCACCCTGTTCCTCCAGAATGGGGTTTCTCCGTCTTGGCATGACTGACATTCGGGGCCTGATGATTCTTTGTGGTGGGGGCTGTCCTGTGTGTCGTACGGTGTTGAGCAGCGTCCCGGGACTTGACCCACTAGATGTCAGTAGCCTTCCTGCAGTCAGAACGGCCCAAAGTGTCCCCTGGGAGGGACCACATGGCTCCCTGTTGAGAACCACACTAGGAACCAGGAACAGCGCTTGTCTCTGGGGAGCGAGACTGAGGCAGGGGTCTTGCACTTTTGTCTCATCCCCTTTCATAACTTGTTCATGCAAAGCCTCTTCGAAAATGAGTAATTCACTAAACCCAAAAGTCGGGAGTTAAGAATAGCAGGTGTTGACAGTGGCCCACGCTCGTGTTTGTGGATTTTCAAGGGGCTCTTGGTTGGGTCCCTGGAGAATCACTGCATTCTTCTGGAGAATTCTTTCATTAGCTCTTTCAGCTCTGTGGACACACGGGCACTGGGCCCCTGGGCCTTGACTCACCTCTGCCCTCTGCCCGGACCCTCTTCTCCCGAGACCTTCTAAGTCCCACCTCCCCAGCGAGGCATTCCGCAGCCACCCTGGCCAAGCAGGGATGCCCACTGTCTTTGTCGCTCTCTTACCTGCTGTGCATTCCCTTCATTTATTCGTGTCCGCTTCCTTGCTCCTTGTCTTTCTCCTCAGCTAAACTCTAAGCTCCCTGAGGGCAGGGACCACGTCTGTCTTATTTAGTGCTATGTCTTCAGTGCTGGGCACGCAGCTAGCACTCAATGTATTTCTGAAAGAATTAATGAGTCCCTTCCCTCTTCACTGGCTTCCTTCTCCAAGAAGAGGTCAGGCACGGTTACCCACTTTGCGATGGTGTTTCCTTATTCTTGCTGCTGTCCTGTCCCTGGAACGGTGCTGGGTGCTCATCACAGCACCTGAAGACAGTCACTGAGTGAGGTGGGAGTTGGGGGTCTCTGAGCACTGGCTCAGGTGTCTCTGTGTCCAGTCAGGCAGGATCCTTAACCTTTCTGAATCTCACTGTCCCTCTCTATAGGATCAGGATGATAATGGCTTCCAGCTTACAGGGCTGTGGTGGGGATCGAATGGTGGGACCGTGAGTTTTATGTGTCAGCTTAGTTAGGCCAGAGTCCCCGGTCCTTCAATCAAACATGAAGTAGTGAAGGCATTTGGGAGATGTGACTGACGCCTCTAAGTTGAGAGAATTCTCAGTAAGGTAGGTGGGCCTGATTTGATCAGTTGAAAGGCCTTAAGAGCAGAATGGAGGTTTCCCATAAGAAGAAGAAATTCTGCTAGTGGACAATAGCTTCAGCTGCTGCCCAAGAGTCTCCAGCCCACCTGTGCTGCCCGCCCGCGCTCGGGAAGTCAGACCTGCCCAGCCAGCCCACCCCCTGGTCACACAAGCCAATTCCTTGAGATAAATCTCTTAATATGGATTGGCCACTGGTTCTGTTTCTCCGGTTGAACTCTGATGGGTGCAAATGAATCTATATAATGTTTAGAACATGGCCTGGGGCAGACAAAAAGTTCAATAGACGTGAGCTGCCCTTATGGTGCCCTTAATGCCATGCCGGGTGCTGGATAGCCATGAACACCTTTCTGCCTCACAGTGATGCAGGGTCTGTTATGCTCCCATTCTGCAGGTGAAGTTTGGGTTGGGGGACGTGACCCACATTCAGGGGCAGAGCCGGAACCCCAACACAGGTAGCTCAGCTCCACGAGCAGCGGCCGACCACAAAGGTTCGTGCTCCCGTGACCCTGCTGCAGTGGCCAGTGGGGGCCCCAGCCTGGAGAGGCAGGGGCACTGACAGCCCTATCATGGCCATTCTCCAAACCCAGCAGGGTGCAGGCATGCAAAGGATTAACTGCCTGAGAATGGAACTGGATGAGAGAGACAGACACAGGGGTGAGATGGGGGGCCTGGACTGGCTCCTCAGGCAGCAAAGCCTGCAGTGGCTGTGTGGCCCCAGACGGATCCTTTCCCCAGTCTGCGCTTCAGCCTCCCTGTCTCTGAGATGAGGAGAGGCGATCCTGGTGGACTTAGCTCCCAGGAACAGGCAGGAGAGGGCAGGGGCACCCACAACTAGCCTTGCCCCTCAGGCTGTGAGCCCCTGGGAAGGACCCTCCCCTTTCTGGCGGCTGGGGACTAGCTCCTGTCTCATAAGGTTGGGGTGTGACCTTAGGGGGGCTTCTTAACCTTCCCAGGCCTCAGTTTCCTCCTCTGTAAAATAAGCATGATGACCGGACTGGTTCCCGAGGGGCACTGGGTTAAGTGAGCGAAGGCACTCCGTCCTGGCGAGTGACATTATCACAGTTGTTTCCATCATCTCCTGAAGGAACAGAGGAGGTTTATACAAGTCCGTCTCCCCATGATCTCCTCCTTGGATCCAGAGAAGAAACGGCAAGATTTACTCAGCTACGTGACTGACTGTTGACCGGATAATCAGAGGACTAGGAGTTTGTCCCAGGGACTCAGACCCTCTCTTTGGCCCCGCTGGGGCATCCTGAGGAGACAGGAGTGAGCTGGGCCTGGATGGGGACAACAGCATCCTCCTTTGATGGATGATGGGTCTCTGCAGTTCAGGCCATTTAGCGCCCACTTCTAGCCTTGGTGGCCCCCCACTCACAGAGCCCCTCCCCGCTCCCCTCCCACCCCCACTGGGTTTATTGGTGTCCCGGTCTGGACAAGGAGTGGCTTGTCTCATCTCTGTGTCCCTGCAGTGCTCAGCACGGAGTGTGGCACATGGGGGCCATGGGGAAATGTTTGCTAGATGAGCAAATGAAGGAAGAATGAGAAACAGTAAGAGAGAGACAGAAAGGGAGGAACAGAAAGGGGGAGAGAGAAGAGGGGTGGCTGAGGTAGAGAATGATATGGAGGTGGAGACCAGGAGATAAACCAGATGGAGAGAAGGAGGAAGGTGGAGAGAGGGAGAAAAGAGAGATCCACAGAAGGAGAGAGAGCAAAAATAGTGGAAAGGAGAGACAAAGCCAGCCTGGGGAATGGACTGTGTGTGACAGACCTGCAAGGGCACAGTGGGATCCCCAGCACCACCCAGCCCAGCCTGGCCTCAGAAAGCCTTGGGACAGGTTTGCTGAATGAATGAATGAGAGCGTGTGTCTCTTTGTCTGGAAGTCCTGCTCCTCCCGTCTGCCTGGGGAACCACGACGCTTCCTACAGGACTCAGCTCAGGCCTCTCTCTGTGAGCCCCGACCTGCCATGCTGCCTCCACCACCACGTGTCCTGCTCTGTCCTGGGCCGTCTGGATCTGCTGCTCCTGCCGTTCACGGCTGACTCGCCTGCATCTCCTGCACCCCCAGCCCCGGAGCTGGCACCAGACAGCTGTGCAATGGAGGATTAACTCAGCGGGCCTGGGTTGTCCAAACTCTGTCCCTTCCAGAAAAAGGGGTCTCTCCCTTGACCAAATCCTGGGAGGGACCCTCTAAGCCCTTGGAATATTCTGCCTGATAAGAGAGTCTTTGTTTATCTGAGGACCTTGGGACACACCAGATAGTCAATGCTAACAGTGTGATTTACGGGGGAGGCCTTGGGTCATGTGGTGCCACTTGACCTCTGTGTGGGCTGGAAACTAATGTCTAGGTAACCACCCCCAATAAAACCCTGGACACAAAAGCTCAGGCACCTTCCTTGGTTGACAACACTCTGCATGTGCTGTCACACGTGGTTGCTGGGAGACTCAAACGCCGTCTGCACGACTCCACCGGGAGATGCTGGAAGCCCGCTCCTGGTCTCTTGGGGACCCTGCACTGTGTGCCTCTTCCCGTTGCTGACTTTAGTAATAAACCCTAGTGGTGAGTAGAACAGCTTTGCTGAGTTGGTGTTTCTAGTGAATTGTCAAACCCGAGCGTGGTCTTGGGGACCCCCAACACAGGAGACATCAGTAAATGTCCGCTGAGGAGGGGAGGAGCTGTGGGCTCCTCTGAGTCCTCTGCATGGGATCTCCCCATGAGCTTCATGACTGCCCTTCAAGCTTTTGATGCTTAGCCCGGTTCAGAGAGGCTAAGTGACTGGCCCAAGGTCGCACAGCCTGGGGCTGGAGCCGTGTCTGTCTGACCCCTTACTGCCCTCTCATGCCTCTCCCTTGACTCTGGAGAAAGAAGTCAGCCCTGTAACCACTTTTTGGAAGATGATCCACTTTCCAATCTTATCTTTATTTGTGGAGCTGCTGTTGGCTCCCTGCCACTCCCACCCCACTGCCCACCCATGGGGACATCACTTTTTCCTGAAGTAGGTCTCCCTGTCTCCATGATCCCCTAAACAATGAGGCATTGGGCCTCTGAAGTCTAACTCAAGGATGCTGTCACTGCCATGTGTGTCCCTCATGGGGAGGGGGAGCCGCCCAGGCATCGGGCCCTCTTGCTTCTCTGAGAGAGGGTCAGGTGACCATTGAGGCCTGTTTGCAGGGGAGCTTCACCGGGCCCAGCCTGTGGCATCTTGTCTGGCTCATTTCTCCCTGTCGCCTGCCCTTGCTGGAGTGCTCTGGGCCCCCCACGTGCCTCCTGCTTTAGGCCTGCAATGCCACCACCCCTCCCAGCATGTCTGCCCAGCTCAGGTGCCATGCCCCGGCTCCCCAGGAGAGACCGAGCCCCGCCTTCCCCAGTGCTGGGCCCTCGCCCCTCCCAGATGCTCCCTCTGCACAGCCCTGGCCATGCAGGCTGCGACAACCCGGAGATCCTTGAGGGCACAACCCGGATCTGACTCATCTCTGTATCTCCAACCCAGGGCCTGGCACAGGGGCGGCTTCAGGGGATGTTTGCGGCCCCACGAGGAAATGAACACCTGGAACATCCTCCTCCACCTGGGAAAGTCTTCCCCATCCTTCCAGACCCAAGGCTCTTCCTAGTGCCCAGGATTCTGCTGCACTTGGCAAGGTTTACCATCTGAAGAACGACACCTCCTTCTGGCGGAAGACGCATTTAGAAAAAGGGTGTCCCCTCTACGTCTATGCTTCTGATTACATTTGCAAATGAGAGGTCCACATATGGCTTTTCTTAGACTCATGCTGCTTTTTAAAAACATGGTCTCAATTAGTAACGTGTTCGAATCCAGAAATTTCACAGTGAAATCTAGACCTCCGGATTCTTCTAAAAATAAACCCAGAAGACCTGGCAATAGAAATGTCATTTCTGCTCAGAGGTGGGAGAAGGAGATGGTGGCGGAGCGGAGTTCACTGGCGCTAGCGCCCCCTTTGGGCGGCACCTGCTCTCCAGAGGGAGGCGGGCCCCCCAGGCCTCTGCGCTCATTGTGTCTCCTGCTGAGCCCCTGGGGGCTTCTGAGTCTGTCACCCCTGCACTAGAGTTTTATAAGGTCAGGAGAAAAAGCCAGGGGCAGGAACAGCTGCTCCAGGCACCAAGGCCCCTGGGATTCAGGGGTCCTGAGGAGGGCATAGTCTTGCGGTGTGGCCTGAGGCACTTTGAGCCTCAGTTTCCCTGTTTGTGATGTGGGGATGTGGAGGGTGGGGCCTCACGATCCCCAATGTCCCTGCAGAGAGACTTTGGGGACTTCCTTAATATTTCAGTTGCTTCCCTCCTACGGTCTCAGTTTCTCTCTTGGTAGGATGCTGGGGCTGGATTGGGTTGTTGGTGCCCCTGAGGCTGCAGGAGGGTCGCTGTCACTCTGGGCTCACAGTGCCCGTGTGGCCTCTGCATTAGCAGCAGTCCACCTCCTAGTGCCGCCTCCCTGCAGTGTGCTCTGTGTGTCGTCTGTGCCCCAGGGGTCGGCCTGCCTGTGCAGACGGCCTGCTCCTCAAGGGCAGGGAGCAGGAGTGTCCCCAGAGCGCGCTGATGAGAGGCCAGGCACGCAGAGGCCTCGGGGGACATCTGCCGAGTGAGTGACTGGGTGAGGGCTGAGCTGTGGCCTCTGGTCTGAGAGTCTGAGATGGAGTCGTGGCTCCTGCTCTGCAGATTTGCGCAGGTCTGACTGGGCCGGCGGATCCACACGTCTGCGATGCCATGTGTTTGTCACAATCCATCTGGAGTTCGAGCCGCCACGGTCTTCGTTCTCAAGAGCCCTAGACCGCGGGAAAACCAGATCCTGCCGTTCCCCTGCCGTGGGCAGACCCTTCCCCCCTGGGTCTCCCACAAATGGAGGGATCCAAGTAGCTCCTTGAAGCCTCTCTTCTGAACTGGGTCCCCCCTAATTCCCACGCTGAAGCCCTAATCCCAGTACCTCAGAATGCGAGTGCATTTGGAGACAGACCTTTAAAGAGGTGATTAAGGTAAAAAACGAGGGCCTCAGGGTGGGCTCTAATCCAGTGTGACCGCTGTCCTCAGAGGAAGAGGAGATTAGGACACAGACACACAGAGGGAAGGCCATGCGAGGACACGAAGAGAAGACAGCCGTCTACAAGCCAAGGAGCGAGGCCTCAGAAGGGCCCAATGCTATTGGCCGGCACCTTGATCCCAGACTTCCAGTCTCCAGAATCGTGAGCAAATACATTTCTGTTGTTTAAGCTGCTCAGGCCGCGGTACTGTGTTATGGCAGCCCAAGCAGACCAGTAAAGCCCCCTTTCTAGTACTTCCTGTCTTTTCTGGCAGAGTGGTGGCGGCCTGTGGCGGAGTCTGCCTCCCCTGTTGGGGCAGGGGCTGGGTCTGGCATCCCTCGGGTTCTCACTGTCTATGGTGCAGGGCTCCCTGCTGCTGGAAGGGGGCCTCGGCTTGAAGAATCAGACAGATGCTCAGTGAAGGCCCAGCCCGGGTTCTCTGTGCTGGCGGCCATGCATCGTAGTGAGCTGGGGAGAGTGCCGCAAGCGCAGACCCTCTGGGCTCCCGCCCTCTGCAGGGGGGCCCCGGGAATCTTTGTTGATAACGAGTGCTCCCTGGTATTCCCAACAGGCAGTGGGTGAGCGCTGGCCTCAGCTGTGCGGCAGCCTGGCTGGTGGACGGCCCGGGCTCGGACTGGCCTAGGGACTTACCTCCAACTGAAGCCCACGGGGTTTCAGCTTCAGACTCCTTGGGTGTTTCTGGTTCCTCCAGCGGCTCTGGTTCCTTGAGGATCAGGGCCTCTTTGGCCTTGGGGATTTGAGTCTCCTCCCACCATTTAAGGATCTTCATTCTAAGGCAATGAGCCCTGTGGTTAATGCTGTGCTCAGTGGCCCCGGTTCCCAGAGGGAGGCTTAGGCTCGGGGTCAGAAGACCGCATCTCCCTCCATTGGCTGGTTCTGTGACCAGTACTCCCCTCCCCTCAGCAAAAAGGGGTATGAATCCGCACTCTCTTGGCCTGGACCCTCTTCCCAGCCTCTTTCTAGTCTGTCTCCATGCAGCCCTAGCGCTGGCCCTGCCCCTGCCCTGCTCGCAGCCCTCCCATGGCTCCCCAGCATCCCCAGAGTCCCAGCCCTCTGGCCCACTGGCCCTTCATGACTGTGCCTTTCCTCTGCTTCTTTCCCAACCCCGTAATGTTTGGATACGTATACATTTTTTTTTTCTGGACAGATCTTTTTTGCACCTTTCTTCTTTTTTCAGAGCTGTGTAGTGCTCTGCTCAGTGAGTGAACCGAAGACTAGATAACCAGTCCCTTTCTCTCTTGCCCTGGCAACTGCAAGGGCCTGTTTGCTGGTCCCCTGCTTTGCCTGGTCTGGCTCTTCCCAAGCAGTTTCAAAATGTACCTGGAATTGTGTTTGCATTCAGGTGTGGTGAAGCCAACAGATCAGGGGACAACTACCATTGAAAAGACAGTTTGTTACTCAAAGTTCCAAGAAGAGGGGGCATGCCATAGCGTGCGGGGCCACACAGTGAAGCCCCAGGTTGTCAGGAGGTGGAAGGAGTGAGGGAGATGCATCGCTAGGAGCTTTTACTGTGGTTTCTGTGGGAATGGACCCAGCAGGGTAAGCAGACTTAGGATTGGCTCATCGAAGTACCTTGCCCACCTGGACTCGGCCATTGGTCCAGGTCGGGCCTGTGGCTCAAGCAGGGACAGTCAGAGTCTTCTCTGGGACTGATCTATCACTACGAGGAAGACACGTTCTCTTTTAGCTAAAGTTGCTGAGGTAGGAGGGTGTGAACTTGGGGCTGCTGCTGGTCACCTTGCCCACTAGGTGGAGCGAGCTCCCAGAGATCAAGCTAACACAGAATGAGGCAGAGCCAAGGACAGGGACAGACAGACTCCTGATGACATCATTTGTGTGCCTGGATCCAGTCATGCCTGAAGTGTAGATATTCAAGTTATGAGCTGAATTGTGTTCCGCCCTTTCATATGCTGAAGTTCTAACACCCAGTACCTCAGAATGTAACTGTATTTGGAGACAGGGCCATTAAAGAGGTAATTAAGGTAAAATTAGGTTATATGGGTGGGCCCTAATCCATGCGACTTTACTTGCAGATAGGGCCTTCAAAGAAGTGATTAAGTTAAACTAAGGCTGTTAGGTGGGGCCCTAATTCCATATGACTAGTGTTCTTGTAAGAAGAGGAAAAGAAATTAGGGGTGTGTGTGCACAAAGTGACGACCATGTGAAGAGGCAGCAAGAGAGTGGCCATCTCCAGGCTCAGGAGAGAGGCCTCAGGAGAAACCAACACCACTGATTCCTTGATCTTGGACTTCCAGCCTCTAGGATTATGAGAAAACAAATCTTCATTGTTTAAGTCTGAGACTTAATAGATGGTCAATATGTGGCAGATTAAGGATGGCTGCAAATTTTTGGCACTCTTCCCATGGAGAGGCAGGGTCTATTTCCTCTCCCCTTGATGCTTGGCTAGTCTATGACTTGCTCTAAGGGAATATGGCAGACATGACACTCTGTCAATTCCATGCCTAGCCTTAAAAAGGACTGGCAACTTCTGTCTTGGAAGAGATGAGAGGCCATGCGACTCCACGGAAAGGGAGAGGGGCTCAGCTGAGTCAATCCTAAGCACGTGAGTGAAGGCATTTTGGATCCTCCAGCCCAGCCCAGTTGCTAGCGGAATACCACCAAGTGACCTCAATGGATGTGTCAGGAAGCAAAAGAATCATCCAGCTGAGTCCTACCCAAATTCCTGACTCATGAAACTGCAAGATATACTCAAATGACCATTGTTTAAAGTCACTAAGTTTTGGGTGGTAGTGACATAGCAACAGATAACTAGAACTGTTTCCTTTTTCCTTGAACTTGTTGAGTTCAGCTCTTGTCACCCATAATTGGAAGAGTCTTGACTAATGTGACTCATCTCTCTTAGCTACCAGGGGTCCATTATCCTCCCAAACTTTTCTACCTGTGAAAATTTAAATCCCACCACCTCATGCTCTGCTGGTTCTTCCGTTCCGTCCAGCTTTCTCATGCTCTCATTCTAATCACATGTTACTCTTCTTGGATCTCACGGGTGGAAGCCTCAGTTCCAAGACATCACATTCTCTAGGATCTGGAAAGACTCTCTTGGTTTCTCTTCCTTCTTTCCCTACCCAATTGGGTACAAACAGCAACCCGCTTGAAGTGCTCTCTCCCTCCAGCCTCTTCACCTCCCTTGTCTCCCACCTCATCACCCTTCCATGGCATCCTGTCTACAAAGACCCAAACCTAGATCAATGCTCCCATCTACTTTCTCTTCCAATGACCACTGCTGGGAGGAACACCACACAGCAATGACACTTGATGCCATTAACAATGAATAATCTCCAGTCACTGTTGGGCCTTTGCTGCTGCTCACCAATTGTTTTCCTTGTCCCTGTACACATCCCATTCATTCTCCTCAGTGGCTATTCCAGCCACCCCTAATACCATCCCCACTGTCCTTAGTTCCCTTCCCCGACCCCTGCTCCTACCCACGTCACTTTCAGCAGATGGCCTTGCCATGTTCCTTCACTATGAAAAGAAGCCACTGGGTAGAAAGGCCTCTCTCCGCCCACCCAAATCATAACCACCGCCTCAAGATGAACAGGAAAAACACAGAACATCTGCCACTGGATTTTGAGAATAAGGATAACTGGTTGCTTTAGACACTGTTGTTTCAGTGGCATGGTGCTGGAGAGCAAGTTGTAGTGGGTTGAAAAAGGTAAGGGTGATGAGAATCAGGAATCGGTGTAAGCTATTCTCTCAAAAAAAATGTTGGGTGGTACAGAGAAGGAGTTTGTGGGCTGAGATGGGAGAGATTTGGGCATGTTTATATCCTTCAGAGAACGAGCCAGTACAGAAAGAATGACTGGAAATTTAGGAGACAGAAAGGATGATTAATGGAATGTGGAGAAGATGGATTCCCAAGCACAAGAGGTGGGGCTAACCTTGGGCAGGAAGAGGGATGCCTCTTTCCCTGAAAAAGGTAAGGATTAAATCATCAGTGCCGGTGATAACTTTGTAGGTGTTGGGGAGTTGCTTTTTTCCTGTGAAGCGGGTAAACCTTATTGCTGAGAGTGAGAAAGGAGGAGATAAGATAGTTGGGGAAAAAGGAAATCATTTGTAATAGTGACAAAGTACTATGTTGGAGAGGGCTCTCTAGAGGTAGGCTGAAGGGTTTCTGGTCAGCACTGATGCCCACTGACCCCAAGGATGGAGATGCTGAAGGGGTAGGGTTCCCTTAGTATTTTCCTTGTACAGACCTCTAACCTAGCACTTGCTTATTTGTCTATATCCCTAGAAAATACAGGATACAGGGTAAGAGGCAGAAAGAAAAAAATAAAATTTGACAAATATTGAATAAGAGCCTCATAGTGAAAAGAAAGGGCAGAGGCAATATATGAATCAATGGTTGAGAATTTTCCAGAGTTGATAAAAGACACCAAAGCATAGATTAAAGAGGCCAAAGAAATATAAATAACAGCAAACAAAAAAAGATATACACACTTAGTCACATCAGAGTGAAATCACTAATGCTAATTCCCCAAAGCCCAGATGGCTATGGGAGCTCTGAAAAGGCACCCAGTCGGTGCCAGGGAAGGTTTCCTAGAGCACATGACTGAAGTCCTAAATGATGAGGAAACATCAGCTAGGTGTGAGAGGGGCACAGGGCTGGGAGATGAAGTGTAGAGAAGGGCGCCAAGCAGAAGTCACAGCACAACTAGAGAAAATTTAAACAACATGATTAATGAACTCAATTTAAAGGCTATATATATGTAGAACACTGCATTCAACAAGTGTAGAATACACATTCTTTTCAAGCCCACATGGAATATTTATAAAAACTAAACAAAAATTGTGCCACAAAGAAAATAAAGAACTGAAACCAAGCATAGTATATTCTCTGACCTTATTTGATTTAAGCCAGAAATAAAGAGGATTATTAGAAAATATTGATGTGTCTAAGAAAACCCTCATGGGTTAAGAAATCATGATGAAACTCAGAAATATTTTAACCAAATGATAATAAAATACTTTATATTAAAATTTGTGAAATGCAGCTAAAGTCATGGCTACAGGGAAATTCATAGCCTTAAATGCAAATAAAGGAAAAGAAGAATGGCTGAAATTTACTGATACAAGAGACCATATCAAGAGGGCAGAAAAAGAAGAATAAACTGGGAAGAATTATAAGGAAGGAAATAAAGAACATAAATAAATGTAGTAGGCTTTAGGAAAGGCTTGCTGATGAATTTTAACTTGATACTCACGTAAGAAGGACAAAGAAGAAGCAGAGTAGTGCTGACGCAATGGATCCATATACAACGCCCTGGATCAGCCCTTTCATGAACACATTGGAAACTGAATTCTTATCTGGAATCAGAGAGAAGCAAGAGTAGTTTTCCTCCTAAGGCTGCAAAGTTCGGGCTACTACTCTTTCCAGTGGCCCGGTGCCCATCCTCATCCTGGTCCTTAGGTGGTGTTGCTCTAACCCAGTCACTAGACCTCCGTACACTCACGTGGGATGAGGAAGATGCTTGAAGTGTGGATTCCATATTCATTCTTCCCCTCACAGTGGAGTTTTGTGACTATTTCTGGATCCCCAGTGAGGCTGATGGTGCTGTTGGCCCAGGGCACAGATACGCTTGAAGTCATGTGGAGGATGTTACTCATGCTGTTCACACTCACGGGAACACGGTCCATCAACCACTGCACGGAGGGTGTAGGGATCCCCTGGAAGGAACAGCTGCACTGCAGAGTCTTCTTCAAGGAACAAGAGGAATAGAGCAGCCTGGGAGGTGCTGTGGGGAGGGAGGGTCAGGAGTCAGCAAGGCACCCTGATGTCCCTTCTCTGCTTCCTCTAGGTCCCAGCCTTCTCCTTATTGGTGATTCACAGGGAGCTTCAGAAAGACTTTCCAGAAGCCCAGAGGGACTGGGACTCCGAGCAGCTCCCCTTCACCCTCTCTTCCCATCTGACTGGGCTCAGTTTTTACCTCTGGCCTTTCAGCCCCAGAAACCAGGGGAAGATGTGACTGCTTCCCAGACTTCTCCACCCTCTCTCCCGGGACTCAGGAATTTCTCTTGGGCCCATTTCTCCCAGACTCTGAACGTTCCCTGACCCACCAGCACTCACAGACTGCCTGGAGCTTGAGCATGCTACTTTTGGTCAAGTTAGCTAGAGAGAAGTTCAAATGACATCTGATAGTGGTGCCATGGTCCTCAGGCTTCTAGCTGACGTGCAGCACTGAGGAGGAGGTGGAGGAGTTGCTGGAGCTGTCTGTGTTGGAGGGTGTGGTGGGCTCTTTCCAGGAGAGGAGTGGGGCTTTGGTTTCTTTGCAGGTGCCTTTGAAGGTACAGGTCAAGGTCACAGGCTCCTCAGCCACAAGAATCTCAGGAATGTGAAGCTCCGGTTTCTGGATCAGGTCTGGAGGAGAGAGACAGATTGCATTCAGACCTTGGAGACAAGGGACCCGCGTGGACACTTCACTGATGCACAGTGTTTCCAGGTTACAGAGTGCTTTCCCACCCATTAGCTCACTTGGTACCCCTCCCCCACTCCGACGACCTCATGGAACCTGGGATTGTTATTGTTGGTTGGCTTCTCACAAGCGTATTTGTGTGGAAGGGGCACCCCCATTGTCTAGATGAGCAAACTGAAGAGACTTGCTTAAGGTGGCAGCGCTTGAACCAGACCCTGGACTTTCAAGACCGAGGGTGAGTGAATTTCTTGTGTCTACATTGCCTAACATCCCTTACCTGTCTCCCAGCCTAGACTTCCTAGGCCAGCTCCTATTCTGCCTCCCTCTCTCCCAGTCCAACTCTCCTCTTAGGCTCTGCCCCTTCCCAGCTGATTTGCGATTATTTACGCCTCCATCTCTTACCGGCTGGATGCTGCTGGGCAAGTCTCTTCCCCTCTTTGCCATTTCTATGTAGAAAAATACTTATCAACTGTACTTATCGCATTGTATTATTGTTGTAAAAATGAAATACCTATGGTTTTGTAAAGCCCAGTGCCTAGTGAAATAAAAACCACACAATTACCATGACCCCTTCTGGAGTTTCTTGTTTCCATAGCACCCATCGCATGAGACTGAATGTCACCTGAGACGGAAAGTTCAATATTCTCCCTCAGGAAAGCTCTCTTGTGTTCTCCTAGATCTGCATAGAATAAATATGCTGTCCCTTTTGAGTATATTGTAGACCAGCTGGGTATAGTCTTTTTCCTCAAGATTCCAAATAATGTGGAATCTCTCCGTGGTATTATCGACCATGGTAGCACTGGTTGATTTGTGTCTACTGGGGAGGTGGTATTTTTATTGAGCCAGTAGGCCAAGATCATGGAATTGCTTGGGGATTCTTCAGGAAATTCAAATATGCCAGAGATTGTAGTGCATGGGCCCTCTTCCATTGATATCTTCTTGACTTTCATCAAAACATGAGAAAGCAACCCTGTGGGGATTCAAGTTGAAAAACAGACTCAGCTAGTGTGCCCCAGTATCCCACTGGTGCATTAAAGGATTAACCTTACCCTAGAAAGGTTTGGCCCTTGTCCAGCTCCTGGAAGGTAGCCTCTAGGCTCTTGAAATATCCTGCCTCGTAAGAGTGTCTTTGTTTACCTGGGGCCTTGGGCCACCAGATAGCCTATGTAACAATGTGATTGATGGTGGGACCTTGGGCCACATGATATCAGCTTGACCTCTGGAAGGGCTGGAGACTAAGGTGAGACGTGGGCGTGATCAGCCATGCCCACAGGACCAGACCCCCAGTAAAAACCCTGGACACCAAGGCTTGGTGAGTGTACCTGCTTGGCAATACTATGCGTGTTGCCACACGTTGTTGCTGGGAGAAGTAGGCACTGTCTGCACAATGCCACTGGGAGAGACAACTGGAAGCTCATGCCTGGTCTCTCCTAGACCCTGCCTTATGTGCCTCTTCCCTCTACTGATTTTAATCTCTATTCTTGTGCTATAATAAATTCTATGAAAATAACTGTTCTGCTGAGTTCTGTAGGTACTTTTTGTGAATCATTGAACCTAGGGTATCTTGGGGACTCCTAAATTGCACCACCCCAATCTAGACTGCCGGGTTTTCCACTGTTCTTGTTACTGGTAGTAATTGCATCTTTTGACCTTGGCTATGTTGCATCATTTCTGAATCTCAGCTTCTCAACCAGAAAAAGGGGTACGATAATACCAAAGCTGCAATGTTGTGAGAATTAAAGATATTAACTACAGAGGCACATGGCGCTCGTGATGATAATTGCAGACTGTACCTTAGCTGTTGGCTCTTAGTGAACAATTCTTTCTTTTCCTTCCTTCTCCATTTCCTAGGCAGCAACTCTCTCAGGTACAAAATGGAGATACTGGTAAACTTTCTGGTTCCTGAGGCCACTTCTAGTAATGATATTCTAAAATGACTCTCGTAACACCAACCTGTGTAAACGTTTATAGATTTCCAAACACCTTCACAGAAATCAGCTTAAGTCATTCTCATAATGGTTTTGTTATTACTCCCCTAGACAGATGGGAACAGTGAGGTTCAGAGAGATTAAAAGGCCCTGCCCCAGGTTATGGAGAAAAGAGTAACAGATCAGGCAAATTTCTAGTGACTTTGAGCAAGTTGCTTAATTCCCCAAAGCCTATTTCCTCATCCGTGAAATGGGGATAACAATTCCTCAGGGAGTTTTTGGGTTGATGAAATGGAACACATGGTGGGTCACAATGCCAATCACAGAATGTGCACATGCAAGGTGTGTATTATTTATTAGTTATCAAGTACTTAATTCTTTAGGTCCTCACCTCTTCACTTACTTCAGTCTTGCCCATCTTCCACTCCCACTCACACCCATCTTAGCCCTCTCATGGCTTCCACAGACACCTCCCACCCTGTCTCTCATCCCACTTACCCAACCACAACGGTGGTAGTGCCATCAGCACCAACAGGATCTCAGGGACAAGAGAGGACCAGGACCTACACTGCTGCTAACTCTGACCTCAGATCTGTACGTCCTGGAGAAAAGGATTTGGAATGGATGAGGAGAGGGGCAGAAGTAAGAGGCATGGGATGGGGGTAGAAATAAATTCACTGCTTACTAGGGGCTATTGTCTCTTCCACCACCCTTAAGGTCTGTTCGTCTTGCAAATAGGAGCTTCGTGGGACCAGCAGCTAGTAGCTTCAGGAACAGAAGAGTGTCCCCATGACCCTCTGCGGAGCCCTAACACCATGTCTGCTTTCTTCTCTCCCCCATAGTCTTCACTCAGCCCCTTACCCCTTTAAAGGGCCTCAAATACCAGGCTGAGGAGCTTGGGCTCTCTCCCAAGTCGATGAGGAAGTCATGGAAATCACGGAAAGGTTTTGATCCATGGGGGAACAGTTTTGGGCATTAAAAAGGTCCCTCCGGGTCTGCACTGAGGAAGTGAGAGTTCAGGAGAAAGACGATGTGGCCTGTGCTGGAACAGTGGCTATGGGGGAAGGAGAGGCTGGGATTTATTTAAGAGATATTTGACCAATAAAAGATTTTTATGGTTGACAGAATAAATTCTAAACTGCCTTGCCTCGCATTAGAGGCTCTCCATGAATTTGCCCCTCACTTGCCCTATTTCCACTGCCCCCTTCCCTAAGCCTCCGCCATTCCTTGCATGCCAAAGGGGAAAAGGTACCTTTCTACATATGCTCCATACATTCCTACCTCTGCATGTTTATTGAGGCCACTAGCCTTTTAGCGGCATCCTTCCACAACTCTCTCCTCTGCCCCCATACAGATCCTACCTCTCTTTCCAAGTCCTGGTCAGATGTAATTTTCTTCTGGTACCCTTCCAGGATCTTCACAACCAGCAAGCAGCCTCCTTTCTCACACTCTCTTCCGCACTCCTATCTGTCCATCTCTTTTAGGGCAATGTCTCAGGCAGACCCCGAGAGTTGCTTACGTGATACCCACCCTCCTGCGTCTTCTTAGTATTTCAAATTTGTTCAGGTGATCAAGTCCCCAGTTAAATGAGAAAAACTCTATTTCTCTGCCTCCTTAATATCTCAGGGATGCCATGTAACAGTTCTGGCCAATGAGCCAAGTACAAGAACAATGCTATTAAATTATTATCAGCAAATAAAAGCCTATTCAGACTTTACCCCATTTTTTTTTTGCCATCACAATTGAACTCTGAAGGTCTGGGGTGTTTTTGTATATAACACTAACTAATGAAATTCCAAATCCTGGTTAAAAAAAAACGTTTTCATAATAAAGGAAACAAGTGTCAGAAAGAATTGAAGGAGATGTTCCCTTCCCCTGCAGCTATAAATCAAAAGATATAGTTCTGGGGCCGGCCCGGTGGCACAGCGGTTAAGTGCGCACATTCCACTTCAGTGGCCCGGGGTCACTGGTTCAGATCCCGGGTGCAGACATGGCACCGATTGGCAAGCCATGCTGTGGCAGGCGTCTCACATATACAGTAGAGGAAGATGGTCACAGGCGTTAGTTCAGGGCCAGTCTTCCTGAGCAAAAAGGGGAGGATTGGCAGCAGATCTTAGCTCAGGGCTAATTTTCCTCAAAAAAAAAAAAAAAGGAAAAAAAAGATATTGTTCTGTGTTATAAAAGGGTTCAAGGAATCTGATTTGATATTGTGCAAAACTGAGAATGTTTATAAGAATATAACTTATGTTCCCCTCTACAATATAGTTTTATATGAATATTCACGACTGTTACTGACTTGCTCTGTTCTCTGTTAATACAAATTTTCCCTTGGAAAAACAATTTGAACAAAGTGGTCTTATGACACTCCAAAGACATTAGAAATTATTCCATGTCTTGTGAAAATGATATTCAAGTAGAATGACATTCTCACTCGTGGTCTGACTTGATAGTTTCTTGCTCTGCTAACAATGACATTGTAATTGACATCTCTATTTTCCTAAATTGTATACTTGTCTGTATTCTTCTCTTTTCCCACATGAACAATGCAAAAATAAACATCTTGGACTCTGCTAGATTTATTATTAAGTAAAGACTTTTGAGAGACTGTCTACTTAAAATATCAAACATATGAGGCTATCTGCTGGAGACTTTTGGGACTTCTGTTTTTCTGATTGGCACCACTCTTTCTCCTTGTTGCTTTCTTCTTCCCCAGAATATGCATGTGATACTGGAGCGGGAGCAACCGTCTGGCAACCATGAGGATCAAAGCCACAGACTGACACCAGTATGGAGATCCTGGTTCTCTGACAGCCATGCGCAGCTGCTATATCCACCCTGCACAGCCCACTGCCGTGTGTCGTCTTTATTTGGTGGTTGTTCTAGCCGGGAAACCGGTGAAACATCCTATGAGGGAATCTACCCAAGAGTGAGCTCCTCGAGAGAAGGCTCTGCCTCAAACAGACCTTTGTGTCCTCCACAGGGCTTAGAAAGGTTCTTGTCTGATAAGTATTTGTTGAAAAAAAATATACAAGCACAAGTCTCTCCTTTCCGGGTACTCTTTTTCCTGGTTTTTGAAGAGAGTTTGCCTGGAACTGGGACGCCTGACTTTGAGCCTCAGCTGTTCATTGTACCTGGCACCACTTTCTTGCTGACCCACTGGACATCCCCAACCACGCTATCTCTTTCTGGCACCAGCATAAGGGACAGAAATAAAGAATACTTGCTTACCTAGCTTCCCTTGCAGCACATAACATAGTTCTGATCAACGTGATGCAAATAGAAATCTGCTGGGGATCTGAAAATATTTTAAAAAATCATCCTATTGAGGTATAGTTTACATCAAATAAAAGGTATCCATTTTATCTAGGGTCCAATGAGTTTTGACAAACATGTGCACACACTTAATGACTACCCCAGTCAAACTATAGAATGCTTTTATCAGCCTTTTTTTTTTTTGAGCTAGTACAAAGAAATCAAATCGGTTTTTGTATGTCTCCTGGAACTCTCTTAAACTCACTCATAAAATCAAGTAGATTTTTTTTTTTGCAGATTCTTTGGGATTTTCTATGTAGACAATCATGTTATCTGTGAATAAGGACAGTTTTATTTCTTCCTTCTCAATATGTATGACATTTCTTTCCTTTTTTTTGAGGAAGATTAGCCCTGAGCTAACATCTGCTGCCAATCCTCCTCTTTTTGCTGAGGAAGGCTGGCCCTGAGCTAACATCCGTGCCCATCTTCCTCTACTTTATATGTGGGATGCCTGTCACAGCATGGCTTGCCAAGTAGTGCCATGTCCGCACCTGGGATCCAAACTGGAGAACCCCGGGCTGCCAAAGCAGAACGTGCGCACTTAACTGCTGTGCCACCAGGCCAGCCCCTGGAGTATTATTGACAAAAACATTTCTAACTACAAACGCAATTTCTGTGATAGTATAAGGTTCTTCAGGCTATCTATTTATTCTTGAATGAAATATGGTCATTTTTATCTTTCAAGGAATTGCATCCTAAGTTATCAAATTTGTTGGCATAAAGTTACTCATATATTACCTTACTATCGTTTAAATGTCTTTAGGATCTGTGGTTATAACCACTCTTTCATTCCTGATATTTATAATTTGTGTCTTCTTTTTTCTCTTGATCAGTTTACTCAAGATTTATCAACTGAATGCTTTTTAAAGAACAAGCTTTTGATTTCATTGATTTTTATGTATTACTTCTGTTTTTAATTTTGTTGATTTCTACTTTTTACTACTTCTTTCCTTCTGCTTGCTTCAGGTTTATTTTCTTTTCTTTCAGTTTCTTAAAGTGGCAACTTACCATGGATTTGAGCCCTTGCTTCTTTTCTAATCTAAGCACTGCTTTAGTGACATCTCAAAACTTTCGATATATTGTGTTTTAAAGTATATTCAAATCTAATATTTTCTAATTTCTCTTGTGCTAGGGGTTGAATCGTGTCCCCAAGAAAAGATAATGCTGAAGCCCTATTCCCACATACTTGTGAATGTGACCTAATTTGAAACAGGGCCTTGCGCTGTACCTTTGCAATCAGGTTAAGGGTGGGCCCTAATGCAATACAATTGGTGTCCTTATAAGAAGAGGAAAATTTGGATGCAGAAACACACAAGAAGGTGGTAATTTGAAGACGAGGCAGAATGGGAGTGATGGATCTACGAGCCAAGGAAAACCAAGGATTGCCAGTCATCACCAGGATCCAGGAGGGAGGCACGGAATGTGCTCTCCCTTGGAGCCCTCAGAAAGAATCAACCCTGCCAACACCTTAATTTTGGACTTGCAGCCTCCAGAACCATAAGACAATACATTTCTGTTGTCTTAAGCCACTCAATTTGCAGAACTTTGTTATGGCAGCCCTAGAAAACTAAGACACCTTGTGATGTTATTTCTTTGATCCATTAGTTGCTTAGAAGTGCCTTGCTTAATTTCCAGATATTTGTTGTTTTTTTAGCTGTTATTAATTTCTAGTTTAATTCCATTGTGGTTAGAGAACATACTTCATATGATTTCAATTCTTTTAAATTTGTTGAGACTTGTTTTACAGCCCAGAATATGTTCTATGTTGGTAAGCGTTCCACAAACCCTTGAATGTGTATCCCACTACTGATGGGTGAAACATTCTCTAAATGTCACTTAAGTCAGTTTGGTTGATACTATTCTATATCTACACCAATTTTTTCATCTATTTGCTCAATTACTGAGAGGGGTGAGTTGCTGTGTCTAGTTCTCCTGTTAGTTAGCTTAGTTTTTTTTTTTTTTTCCTTTTTCTCCCAAAGCCCCTTGGGGTACATAGTTGTGTCTTTTTAGTTGTGGGTCCTGCTAGTTGTGGCATGTGGGACGCTGCCTCAGTGTGGCCTGATGAGCGGGGCCATGTCTGCACCCAGGATCTGAACCTGTGAAACCCTGGGCCACCTAAGCAGAGCGCACCAACTTAACCACTCGGCCACCGGGCTGGCCCCTAGATTAGATTTTTTAAAAATTTTTGAAGTAAAAATTTTAGTTAGTAATTAATTCTCAGAATCTAATTGTTTCAGAGAATACACTGATTTATTTACAACCTCAAATTGAAGACTGAGAAGAGCCCTGGGGTGCCAGCCAGGGTTTTGCCAGTAACGCCCTTTAGGCAAGCGCTGTCCCCTCTCTGGTTTCCCCTCCTTTTCCTCATCCGTAAACCGAGAGGGTTTTTTGCCCAGTGTTTAACGGTCCTGCAGACTTTAACTCTGATCTCTTCCCAGCCTCAATGCCCTCCCAGGCCTTGGCGCACCCACGGGTCATCTCCACAGGCGACCTCCTTCCCCTCCCTCTAAACCATCATTTCCTTTTCCGAATTTACCCCTTCTTCTCGGGTTGCGACAGTTCCAGCCTGGCCCTTCCTCAGCACGTCTCCACCCGGCTGTTTCCTTGAAACTTAACGTTCTCCTCGATTTTTGCTGAGCGCATCAAGTGACGGGCTGGCTGACTTACTCCTATAGAAACAGTGACTGGAGAACTTACTGTCCAGAGGGACGACTCGGACCGGATTTAACGTCTCACGACCAGCCGGATGAACTGATGATCCCTGGAACAAGCGTATGCACCACGGCCGAGTGACTCACCGAGAAGCGATTACGGCAGAGGACGGTTAACTGACTGGCTGGCTCACAACCAGCTCAGGAGGCCGCCTGGGAGTCCCCGAGCCTCACCAAGGTCCCAAAAGCCAGAGGTCACACGAGGACAGAACGCCCGCCCGCTGCGAAACCCTGCCCCACAGGCGCTCCAAGGAGCATGCGCGAGTCCGTCGGAGCCAATCAGGGCCTGACGATGCGCGCGGGAGCTGCTGGGACCTCGGGCGGGGTTGGTTCTCGAACTCGTGGGTCACCAGAGCCTGAGCCAGTCCAGAGCAACCGTTACTATAAGGCTCCCTGGGCTCTTGCGGGGCCTCCCTGGGCCCCTCGGGAGAATCGTCTTTCTTGACCAGGCGTTTCTAGACCCCTGCTAGACCTCAAGACCCCGGGCTAATTAACCCAGTACTTGTGGGCAAACAGATGATGGGCAGATTGGAAGCCATTGATCAAGGAATAAAATGCCAAGTGCGCGACCCTCAGTAACCCCAGAGAATCAGAAGGCACCTTGGTACCCCCATTTCCTGTCCTGCAACCAAGGCACCATCATAGACAAAGCAAGACACACGAAGACCCAGCTCTTCATTCTCATGCCAAAAATCCATCCCTGAGCTACCCCAACCCATTTCCCATCCTCTGCCCCATTCCTCTTCTAGATCTCAATCTCTTCTCCCCGAGACCTACCCACCTTCCCTCTCCCCATCCTCGTACGCCTCTCCCTAATAGAGGATTTGTTTCTTTGATAGATTATCGAGGCTTCTACTCTCACCTCAGAAGCTCTGTGGCACAAGATTCTCACAGATAAGGGCCTGATGAATAGGAGTCCACTTTCCAAAATTACAAAGCACAAGACGAAATAGCCCTCTGTGAGTGAAGATAAAACTTCAGCTTCTCACCAGAGCCCCTGAGGTCCTGAAGGCTCTGGCCCCCTCGGGAGCTCGTCCCTCAGTCTGAGCTCCAGCCGCACAGACTTCCTCTGGGCTCTTGAACTCACCAGACCTTCCTCATCTCGGAGCCTAGAATCCTTTGTTCCCTCTAACTAGCTCCTAATAATCCCTTAGGTCTCAGCACAAATGTCGCTTTCTCAGAGAGGCCTTCTCTGACTCTCTAATCCAAACTAGGTGCCTCCTCTTATACTTTCTCAGTATTGCCTTTTAAAAAAAAAAAAAAGATTTTATTTTTCCTTTTTTTCCCCAAAGCCCCCTGGTACATAGTTGTGTATTTTTAGTTGTGGGTCCTTCTAGTTGTGGTCATTCCGTCCTTTTTATTCCTGGCACTCATCCACATTTTAAGCTGTAGTTTTGTATTTATTTCTTCGTTGTCTGTGTACCCACATAGATCATGAGCTCCGTGGAGGCAGGGCCTGTGTCTGGCTTGTTTGCCTCATTATCTGGCACATGGTGGATGCTCCTATTTATGTGGAATGTGTGAACGGCACACATACGTGTGAGGCTTATATAAACATCTTCCTCAATCACAGAATGCCCCCTCACTGGTGCTGGATGGAGAACTAGTGGATTAACTCACAAATAATGCCCCAGGGAAGAGATGAGCTTTTCCTCAACTGCTGAAAGTTCCCAGCATCTGGCTCCAGAAAGGAGGCTGTCATGCATTCTGAAGGGAATACTACACAGCTGGGGTCCATTCTCATGCCAGAATCTCACTCTTATTCCTTGCATGCTTGCCTTCTATTCCTTGCATGCCTGCTTTTCTGGCCAAGGAATATTGCAATAATCTTCTAACTAGGCTCTTTGCCTCCAGGCTTACCTCTTCTAAATACATCAATAACTGCTAGAATGTCCTTTCACTGTGTATGTGGTCACTCTACTTTGCTTCAAATCTTTCAACAGCTTATAATTCATTCAGTTATTTGACAAACATTTTTGAGAGCCTATTGTATTTTAGAAACCATTCTAGGTGCTGGTGATACAAGTAGAAAATAAGACAGACAAGATCCCCGTTCTTGTAGAACTCACAGTCTAAGGGAGTCAGGATAAGTTCCCACCAGATAAAGTTCCAAAGCCTTCTCTTGGCATTTAGGGCCCATCTTTGTGTCTTTTCTCTGCCTACAGCTCTGGATGACACTTTTCAATCACTCTTCACCCTGGTACACCTCAAGTGAGGATACTGAAGCTCAAAGTTGGGGGTGCGGAAGTCTTATTCAAAGACATCTAACCACTAAGCATTGAAGCTGGGATTCAATGCATATATGATGGCTCCAAAGCCTGGTGCTGTGGTATGTATATTCCAGGTACTGGGCACACAGTAGGGCTCAAAAGCTACTTCTTGATGGACCTATTTCCTAGCTTCACATTTATTTTTCCTTCCTTTGACACCATCTCAGGACGAGGCATATTTCTTCTGGCTAACTCAAACAACAGATCATAGAATTTGCTTCCAAAGGTTCCGAGACCAGGTCCAAGAGTAACCCTGTTCAGCGGAGAGCCGGTGTGAGGGACAGGTGGGGCTTGAGAGGGCTCTGCGAGCCGAGGAGACTCGGGGGGCTTCAGGTTTGTTACCGACTCCTGGGTTTCTGGGGTCTCTAAGGATTCTGTAGACTTTTGTAATTGCCGGGAGAGTGGGAACTCCAGGTATGAGTCAGGTATGAGGCTGCGTCAGCTCCAGTTTTTCTTGCTTTGCTGGAAGTTGAAGGTATTGGGTGCTGCAGAGCAAGGCAAAGAAAGAAGGATGTTGAAACAGGTCTATAGGTGAGATATCCAAATCTGAAAAAGGACAGAATTCTGTCCCTCCCTTTGAGCACAGAATTAAGGCAACGTGGAACAGGCAGTGGCTTCACCTCGCAATGCCACAGTTGGAGCCTGCAACCCTGTCTTCTCCCGCTGGTCGTCCCTGTGCATCCCCAGCACCAGGAGCCACCTGACTGTTCCCCAGACTCCCCTGGGAAGTTTCGCCTGACTTCTCCAGGTAGGTTCATTCCCTCCCTCCTCTAGGCAACCATAACCCCTGGCTCAGCCCCGTTACTGTGAGGGTGCCCTCCCCGCCAGCCTGGTTGCTCGAGGGCAGGGCCTGTGTCTGATCCATGTCTGAGACCCCAGCATTGCCCAGGGTGGAGACTTGGAATCCTGCAGGGAATGCTGGTGGAATTTGACAGGTGCGTGATTTACCCACAAAGGGACACCAGCTCCGAGCACAGGGTGTAGGGAGGGCAGCAGGGCCCTTCTGGTCTTAGAGAATCGTAAAGGGTAAACAACAGTGAGGCACAGTGACCTCAGGCACTGTCCCCTCCAAGCCTGCTGAGGATATGGAGTGTGGGGTAAATGAAGGGGTGACCTGGGCTTGGCCTGGTCTCCAAGCACTTCGGGCTGACTTGGGCCTGTGGCCCTTACAGACTGTGCTGATGGCAGCCGCCAAACACTCAGAGACCAAACCCTTTGGTTTCCGCTCTGATGCTACAACCCCCGAGGGATTCTTCCAAGCCTCTTCTCAATGGGGACTCAGTGTGTGGGTGTGTGTATACTTTGCTGATTCTAATTATCCTTTAGGTTATTTCTCTTAATTTTCTTTCCCTCTCTGGGACATAGCTTCATTATCTATAAGATGATCTGCAAGCATATTTGGGCACTCGAGATGTCCTATAGGACTAAGGACGATAATTCCTTTAGACCCTGCATGTGCCTCTCCTCATGGGTGTTATTACCATTATCCCGATGGACTAGATTCGAAAAACAACAGGTACCCACCAATATCTGGCTCTTCGAAGATGGGGTGACTGTGGCTTTTTCTGGCTCCTCAGGCTTCAGAGACGTCTTGGGATCTTGGCATGCTCTGGCTTTAGGGCTCTTTTCTGGTTCGACTGCTGCAGTTTTCTTTGCCTGCTTCATTCTGACACGTTTCACTCTAAGGAAATGATCCTCCTGATCAGTTCTGGCTCTCCACCTCCCTGTACCCCTAAATGGGCTCTGGTCTTGATCAGAAGTTCTGGTTTAGAGCTCAACAACACTAAGAGCTTGCCGTGTTATCTAGGGCGAGCTACACAACTCTCTGGGAATTGGTTTCATACTCTGTACTAGGGGGACACCTTGCTTATCAGGCTGTGGGCTCAGATGAGGTCAGCTAGGGAAGGACTTTGCAACTGACAGGATTGTTGTTGGTCTTTATGTTCAGCTGACACTGAAAATAGCTTCCCAGTTTGCCTTGCCATCGGCTCCTCTTCTTTTTCATCCCCAGTGGTCGGTCACTCCTGAGTCCCACCTCTCTGACTGACCCTCATCACTTGCCCCGGCTCAGGCCTCCTCGCTCTTGCCTTCTGGTCTGTGTCCTACCCCAAAGTCATGCTTTCCTTCCAAGCTTAGCACTCTTCCATGGCTCCCAACAGGATTAAGCCCAAGACATCTGGACTGGCCAGAGGCACCCCTGTCGAACTCTCTGGCCTGATCTCTGGCTACTCTGCTCTTCTCACTCTAGGCTTCTAGATAATACATTTAGCCAAGTTTCAAGAGTTTTTATGAACCAACACCAAAAACCTTTTCCACTTTTATTTTTAGTCATTAATGTCACTCTCAATGCACCTGACACCGCACAAAGCTATTGGAAATTCCTCAGAGGTGTCCCTAGGGCCTGCATATACTACTTTCCACCAAACAAATGAGGGCTCAGCTCTCTGGGCCCACTTCAGACAGCACCCTGGGGACTCTGCTGGTGTCCCCAGGGCTGTCGCTTCCTCTTTTGCTTTCTCGTTTATGAAATTCTCTGAAAGCCTGTGTCTTTGGGCCTGTTTTGTGGCCCAGCACAGTCCTGATGGTCCTGGATTGTGGTGATCTTGTTTGGTGCCTCTTCCCTTGCCAGACCCTGAGCTCCACAAGGGCAGGGGCCCTGTTTTTGCCCTCTCTGTGCCAGCATCACAGCTGGGGCCTGCGGGGAGCAGACTCTGGGACAGGCTTACGGGTGAATTTTGCCGCCGGTACTCACATGAGAGGGACGAGGCAGAGGGAGAGCAGTGCTACCACAATGGCTCCATAGACAACGCCCTCGATCAGCCCTTTCAGGAAAGCCTGGGCAACCAAAGAACTCCTTTCTGGAAGCAAAGGGCATGTGAGAAAAGCTCCTCTCCAAAGACCTTGGAATTGGAGCCAAAGCTCTGCTCCCTCCTCCATCCCAGTGCCCGTCCCCATCCCTTCATCACTGGGTCCCCTCCACCCTCACTTGACATCAGTAGAATGGTCAGAGCGTGGGTTCCATTTGGGTTCTTCCCCTCACAGAGAAGGCTCGTGCCCACTTCTGGCTGTTCAGTCAGATTGATGGTGCTGTTGATCCAGTGGCCAGTTATGGTGGAAGTCACCTGGATGCCGTCATCTGTGCTGTTCACACCTGTGGGAGCACCTCCTATCCACCACTGCACAGAGGGCGTGGGGATCCCATGGAAGAGACAGATGCACTTCAGAGTCTTCTCCAAGGAACAAGAGGAATAGAGCAGCCTGGGAGGTGCTGTGGGGAGGGAGGGTCAGGAGTCAGCAAGGCATCCTGACGTCCCTTCTCCGCTTCCTCCAGGACCAGCCTTCTCCTTAATCCTTATTCACAAGGAGCTTTGGAAAGACTTTCTGGAAGCTGAGAGGAGTTGAGCCTCACAGATCAGTTTCCCTTCATCCTCTCTCCTTATCTGGGCTGAACCTGAACACGTCACCTTCTAGACTGATGGCAAGGGAACCGTCTGAGGATCCACATTATCTATGATCCCTTATCTACCCCCTCAGGCTAGACTCTCAAGCCTGGGCTCCTACTTCCTCTCTCTTCCTCCCACTGCCAGCACTCCCCTTGGGCTCTGCCCCTTCCCAGCTCCATCCGTGATCAGTTTCTCCCTCCATCGCTTACTGTCTGCAAGTTACTTTCCCTCTCTTTGCTCTTTCCTAGTCTGGAAAATAGGCACATTCACTGAACCTGTGTCATACTATCATTGCATTGAATGCCCTCAGGTTTGCAGTATTCCTAGCTCAGTGCACGGTCAAGTATTACCCATTCAATAAACAGAATGCCTTTCTAGATTTTTTTCTTCCCAATCCCAAGTGGCCTTTGATTGATCATTCATCCTAAGTAGAGACTGCGAGGCCATTTTCTGGGTAAGAACATTTGGAACTTTCTCGTTGTACAAAGAATAGGTGGGACATGTTGTCCATCTGGTGAATATCACGGATTACTAAGGAACAGACCTTCAAGGTCTCTAATAGTAAGGAATTGGTCCTTAGTGTTTTAAAGTACTTTTTTTATTGGAGTTGTTTGAGGTTACTGGTACAAAGGGGTAATTTCCCCCTGAACAGTAGCCCTTGATCTTGGTCTTTTTATCAGGGTCACCTGGAGTGGCGGATGAGGAATTTGCAGGGGACCGTGATGCACAGCCTCTCCTCCACTTCCGTCCTCTGGATTATTTACTTTTACCATCTGGGAAAGCACGCCCGCGGAGAGTGACCGACAGGCGCTGAAACCCTGACAAACCTTGGAGCCTCCAGCGTGTGCTGGTGATATCTGAAACAGCTCCCGTGCCCTCATACCTTCACGCCACCCTGACTGAGCTCCCACCCGCACCCCAACTCCACTCCCTGGCCCAGTCTGCTATTTTCCCCAGACACCCCCAGCCCTGCCAGAACCTGGCACACCAATGTCTAATTCATATTGGTTATTTGGTACCCTACACCCTTATGTTCTCTCTTCAGACCCCCACAGCCCAACCCACGCCTGGCCCTGGAGCCTCGGCCTCCTCAGACACCTCGAGCCCTGCTTCCCATCCCACTCACTCGGCAGTGGCCGTGGCAGCACCATCTGCAGCAGCAGTGGTTCTCAGGAACAGGAGGGGCCCAGGGCCTTTGCCACGGCTGGCTCTGTGGTTCAGAAGGGATGAGATGATGAGTAACTGAAGGAGGCCATGGGGGTGGGGAGAACAGAAGGTCTTAGCAAGCCAGGGGCTTCAGTCTCTTTGGTCATCCTGAAGCCCTGTTCACCCTGAGAAGCGGGAATTTCCTGGGACGAGATGCTCAAGAGCGTCGAGGGCCCGCCATCCCTGTGAAGCCCCAATGTCATGTCTCCTTTCTTCTCTCTCCTCTAGTCTTTCACTCCCAGTCTCAGGCCCCTTGCAAGGGACTCACTGACCAGGTCCTTTGGGTTCTCTGTCAAAGCTCATGGGATCCACGGAAGGGTTGTGTACCACAGAGAGACAGCATCAGGTCTGGGTTTTCACATACCCCATTGGGGCCCACAGGAGAGATGGCCTGGACGGGGAGTGCCTGCAGCCCAGGGGCCAGGGACAAGACCGGTGTGTGGTCCAGGATGAACGACATGCTTGAGTTGGCACATGGGCTGCGAGGGATGGAGGGGCAGGACCAATTTAACAGATCTTTGGGAGAACAAAAATGGACAGGAATTCCTACTGCTGACAGGAAAAGTTCCCAACTTCCTTGCTTTGCAAAGGAGGTTCCGCACAATTTTGCCTCACCCTTGCCTCGTATCCCCCGTGCCTTTGCCGATATTTTCCATGCCGAAGGGAAAATGCTGCCCTTTCTAGATTTTGCTCTAACCACACCTCTCCTGTCACTCAGGGGATTCCCCCTCTCACAGCTTGTCATCTTGCGACTCCCCTCTGCCCACATTCCAATCCTACTTCAATTTCAAAGCTGAGTTCAATGCCACTTCCTACATGCAGCCTTTCCTGATCTCCCTACCCAGTCAGAAGTGGGTAACTGCTCCCCTCCCAGAGTTAAAGGCATTTTATTTGTTCTTTTCTGGGGAAATAACCATTTTTTTCCCCCATAGAGTTATTTGTTTCTGTCCAAGCGCCAGACATCAGTCGTTACCTGTCCTGCACTCCATTACTAACGTATCCAAGTTTGTTTATGGGCACAACGTTGCGGACTAAAGCACGCCTTTGTCTAGCTTCCTATGCAGTTAAGGGCAACCATGTGACCTTGTTTTAGTGGAAGTGAGCAGGGGATTCCTGGGAACGTCTTGCTTTCCTGATGTTGTCCTTTCCTTCTTCCTCATCACTTCCATCTCCCTTCTCCCTAGACTATGGATGTGACACTGGAGGTGGAGCAGCCTTTTGGCAACCATGAGGTAAACCATGAGGATGAAAGACACTCACGAGGATGCTGTAGCACAACAATTCAAGGAGCCTGGTTCCCTGATGGCCTGTGGAGCTGCTCCACCTACCCTGCACAGCCTACCTCTGTACATCTCCTTACATGACGAAAATAAACTCTCACTTGGTTAAGTCACTTTAGTTGGGAAACTAATGAAATAATCTTACCAGAGACTCTGCTTGAGAGTGAGCTCTTTAAGGGAAGGCCCTACATCAAACAGACCTTTGTGTCCCCTGCAGAGCTTGGAATGACCTTGTTTGATAAATACTTACTGATAAAATGTTCAAATGTCAGCCTCACCTTTCTTGAAATGATCTTCCTTCTACTATTTTCTTTTTGAAAAGCATTGACTTAAGAGCAGAAGCCCCGGCAAACCCAGCACAGATTATGTAAGCTGTCACTGATTCACTGGAGGACCATAGACAATCCTTTTCCTCTCTGGGCTACGGGTCCCTCATCTCTGCATCAATGTTTGGGAAAAAAGCAGGATGAAAGGGTGTGCTCTCAGTCTATAATATTTTGTAGCAGACACTGCTGGCTGTCAGACCTAACAGGTATCCCATTACCATTATCCCTCTTGCCTCCACTACAGAGCCTGCAAATAACAAATATTAATGTTCCCAGATACCCTTACATGTCCTGGTGGTCAGGTGACGCAATTGTGATCAAAGAATCATCAGTATACTTTAAAAAATAACTTTTCAACCGTATCGATATTTTACTGTTCAAAAAGTCCAATTAAACCTAGAAGTGGAAAAAAAAAGGCAAACCCTAAAATTGAACAAAAACAGAACTGAGTGAAAAAATGAAAATAATGATAACATAACCACTCTGGAAAAATACCCATTTCAAGTAACCTCTGAACACAGTGCTCTGACTCTACTGTCTTAAGGGAGACATACTCGAGGGACAAAGAAAACTTCATCTTCACTAGTACGTTTACTATCAGTAACATTGGTATTGTAATTTTGAAACTATGTTTTAAAGATTTTCACATTAAGGAAAAAGACAAAAAGTATAAAATATAGTAATTTACGGAAAGGAAGTAGAGTTTAATTTTAATTGGCAATATAAATAGAAACCCTTGGTTTAGAAAACGAATTCTATTTCCGTATTCTGTTCACAGAAAGAACCTAGAAGCCGTGACCCACCAATGTCCACAGCAATAAACACAGCTCACACCTACATCTCGGTTTCTAACTAATATTCATCAGTGTGCTGGGGCCCGAGTAAACCAGCTTGTAAGAGCTAATTATTAAATTTTCAAGAATGCTGCAGCCATTATTAAAAATTAAATTATATAAACCTTTAAAGTTATATTAAAACAAAGTTTATAATTACTTAAAACTGATTACTTCCTAATTTTTCTAATACATTTTACTGTTATCTATGTTCTTGAGGTTATTTACATCTTTTGTATCCAGATGATGGAAATACTACAGAATGCTGTTCTACTGTGTCTCTTCCTAGCTTGAAATTGACTATGGTGAGAGTATTTACAAAGTGGAAGTTGGCAATACTCCAGTTCAGGGCTTTATTTTTCCCTTTGGAGATCTGGTTATTAAATATTTACCAGTACACCAAAACTAATATTTCCCACTCAAAGGAACCCATTCATCTCGGAACTGCCCATCCATAAGCCAAGCCCCTCTTTGTTGGTCAATTGGGAGCTATTCATTGGCACCACCCATTCACTGGCAATAGGACCTGGCAGCTCCTCAGGTGGTCCCAAAGTTGGTGGTGGTGGGAAACAGGCCACCTGCTCATGAATACGATGAGCATCTCCTCGTGTTTGCCCAACATTACCAAAGACGTCATGAGGATTTCAGGTTTCAGGGTATTTCATGTCCTTCCGTCATAGGGGCCATTTCAATTAAAGCCCAATAACCAGCTAATTGTCTCTCTATTGGAAATTTTCTGCTTAAAAATCCCATTGGTCGCCACTGGGTGATGCTCACTGGCTTTGCCAAAAGCTCCAGTCTGCAGAAGGATCCCAAGACTTTTTTCCAGTAGTTTTACAGATAGGGCTGGGAATATTCCCAGAGACAGAATATGTGTCTTCCCAAATCCAAACAAACCAATCCAACACTGGGCTTCTAGCACATTTTTTCGACCAGATATCCTGTACTTTGCAAGTTTACAACCTTCGTGGGCTTGGGCAATCTTATTGGGTCCCAATTAGCATGTCCAATCAATAATGATTGAAGGGGGGATTTATGTGCCTCCTGTTTCATAATATTAGGAAGGGGAGATGTTCCACAGTCAGACACACTATCTATTTACATTCAGGTAAAGGAGGAGACATGATGACCTCACATACAATCTGTTCCAACATTTTCATCCAAACCTTCACCTTAATCCTGTCAATCTTTGCATTCCCATATCTTCCCAATCTAACTATAACCCCCCTTAGGTATCACCAACAGGTTTTAGAATCACAATGCATGGGCTCCCATGTTAAGGAGTCCTAGAAACATCTCTTCCCCTGACCATTTTACCACTAAAGTGCATATGGCTTTGAGTCCCCAGCTAGGAATGGGGCCAAGGAACCCAGGCCCTTTTATGGATCTTTATTGTGATTAGATTAAGGGATATCATCTCAGGCGATTTGAAGTCAGGTTTCTCACTGTCGTATTTGCCTTCTGGCTTTTTAAAATTCCTCTAAACTAGGGTAAAGAGGCCAAATTCAAGGTAGCAGTTATCTCTAGGTTTGAGTGGGAGATTATTTGGGGAAGGGGTACACAGGGGTAGTGTTTTAAATTTTAAGCTGGGTGGCAGGTACATGCTCTTATTGTACCATTTTTATATCTTTATGTCTGAATTATTTCATAATATTTAAATGAAATTTGATCATTTGTCATTTATGTAAAAACTTTATATATGTGTATCACATGTAAATATATATGCTCATATATAATAGTTATATGTTAATATATATATATATATACACACAGATGAATAAAACAAAGGTCTGGAAAGATCCACAAGAAGATAGTACCAGTACTTAGGGAAAAAGATAAATTAAGATTTTCATTTTTTATTCCATACCTGTTGGTATTGTTTGATGTATAAATTAATATTCGTGTATTACATTGGTGAATAAATTCTTTTTGTAAAGGTGGATTAGTAAAAGAAAACAAAGAAAGGACTACATAATTAGGCCATAATAAAATTTCTTAAATCTTTAACTCAAACTAATATTTATTTATTGTTTGCTATATGCCTGTCAATTCCATACATCTCATTTTTATTCCCCCCAAGAACCTGAGAGACTGAATATATAAACAGACAATGGCCGGACCATATATGACCCTCAAGCCTCAACTCTATGACGTACATGACTCTGATCCTCACTTGGCAGCAACCAGTCCAAGAAGCCAAACCACGACCTCTGCAGCAATTGGCCCAGAACAGTCAGAACTTGATAAATGGGTACCAGCTTCCCTAATTATTGCCCCTGCTTCCAGCTCAGAATCAATGAAGTAAAGACAAGTATGTCCCCCAGTCCAATCACTTAAGATGTCCCCACTTCTAATTAGCCAACCTCCAGCTTCCCCATGCCCGCAGTCTCCGATCAGACACTGTCTGAAGCTCCTTCTCTTTTTCTCACTGTAAAGATTTCCCACTCCCCTGCCTGCCTTTGAGTCTTTGCCGAATGCAAGTGATGGTGGCTGACTCTTGCTATAGCATGCACTGAATAAATAACCTGCCTGTTCTCAAACAGGTGGTCTTCGTTTATTTCCACAAGAACTGTGGAATTAAGTCTTAAGATTTCCTCTTTATAGCGGAGGAAACTGAAGCTCAGAGAAATAAGTGATTTTCCCAGGATCGTTGAGAAAGTATAGTTAGAGGTGAATTCAAAACTCAGGTTCTTCTTTCTCCACACCAACTTTCAAGAGAGTAGAAGTTTTATAAGCTACTCCCATTCTCTGAGGATAGGCAATACAGTAAGAGTAAAATTAATATTAGAAGTTTAAACCCCCTTGCCCTCATCTCAGAAAAAGGAAAAAGTCAATCACCTAAAACTTAGGAAACACGTCTCTAAATCAAATAAAATCACGCTCAGGGAGAAACCAAGAGTCAAAATTTGAAGTCCTCTTTGTCTACTCTCTTTTCTCTTGTGTCCCACATCCAATCTGTCAGAAAATCCTGTTGGCACTGCTTTCAAAATATATTCAAAATCTCACCACTACTAATCACCTCCACTGCGACCACCCCGGCCCACGCCACCACGCTGTCACCCAGAAGGCTGTAGTAAGCTTGTCACTGGCCTCGCTGCTTTACCTTCCTCCCTCAGCATTCTATTCCCCACGTAGCAGCCAGAAGGATTCTATCAACACCTCATAAGATCCTGCCCCTTCTCTGCTCGAAACTCTCCAATGGCTCTCATCTCAGAGTAAAAGCCCAAGTTGCGCACAACATGGCCCTGTCCCTTTATCTCTCCGGTCTCACCTCCTGCCACCCTATAGAGGCTCGCCACTACAAAGAGCAGTCTGCTTCGCTAACGAGTCTCTCTCGAAGCACATTCCTGCACACAGATGGCCAACAGGCACATGGAAAGATGTTCACCATCACTGATGATTAGGGAAACGCAAAGCAAAACTAGAATGAAACATCACCTCACTCCCACGCCAGGAACTGTTTCAGGGATAAGACAGAAAACAAGAATGACACAATCCCTGTCCTCATTCTAGCATGGAGGCTGGAACATAGTCTCCAACAAATACCACTGGTAAAAGAACAGTTTCTGATTGGGAGTTGCGTTTTAGCCTTGGTTCTGCTGGTAACCACATTTTTTATAATTAATTTTTTTATTGAGAAATAATTGACATGCCATAAAATTCACTCTTTTTTAAAGAGTACAGGAGTTTTCAGTATATTTGCAAAGATGTACAACCATCACCATTACCCAATTCCAGAACATTTTCATCACTCTCAAAAGAAACCCAGTATCCATTAAAATTCACTCCATCTCCCCTAACTCCTATTCTCTTCCCCATCCCCTGTCTTAGGCAACCATTAACCTGCTTTCCTCAGCCTCTGTCCCAGGGGCTCCAAGACGCTCTGGGTCCCCGGCACGCCCCTGCCCGGGATGCTCTCGATCCTCCCCACGCCCCCGCCCGAGATGCTCTCGGTCCTCCCCACGCCTCCGCTGGTACGCTCTGGGTCCTCGGCACGCCTCGCCCCGGGACGCTCTCGGTCCTCCGCACGCCCCTACCCGGGATGCTCTCGGTCCTCCGCACGCCCCAACCCGGGACGCTCTCGGTCCTCCCCACGCCCCCGCCCCGGGATGCTCTCCGTCCTCCGCACGCCCCCACCCGGGACGCTCTCGGTCCTCCGCACGCCTCGGCCCTCCTGCTCCCTGTTTCCCTCAGCAGAGCCGAAGGGCCGCGAAGGGCTCCCCGCCTCGCTGGGAAGGGCGGCCTCCGGGGTGGCTGCCCTACTTCAGCCGACCGACTGGAAAGCGGGTTTCCTGGGGACACCAAGGACTCGCAGTGAGACAGGCGGACACGTGGGATGACTGTGCGACGGACGACGGTGCCTTCACGGGGATTAACCACCTAAGAAGGTGACTGAAGGCGCCTGACTAACCGACGCGCAGGGCGGGTGATGGGTGGACCAGGGGGACTGACCTGACCAGGATGACACACTGCTTGGTGGTCTTAGGCCGGTGACCCCCGGCTGCCCTTCAGGCGCACCGGTGACCCCCTTGGTGACCGCCTGACGAATACAGGAGGGGCCCCCGGTGGGCTGACGGTCTGGTCGTGGACCGGCCGTCAGGGAGCCTCGCCTCCGAATGACCGAGAAGCGGCCTCGGTCCGACTGGGCCTCTCAGGCACGAGGGCCGCCCTGGCGCCCAACGGCCCTCGTGATTGTCTGCCGCCCCAGCTCGCGCTCACTGACCGACTGCCTGACTGACAGAAGCCCCGCTTTCAGGAAGCGCAGTCCGGGCAGGCCCAACGCCGGTCCCGCACTCAGCCACGGCCAGGAGAGCCAATAGGCCCCTCGCGGCCCGGGAGACGAGCCACCGCCCGTCTGTGGTGGCCCCGGAAAGACGGTGCGACGGGGCACAGAAGTCGCCCTGGGTCCAGCCTGCGTGCCTTGCGTCGTGCGCGTCTATCTCGCAGCCAATGAGTGGCTACAAAGGCCTATTCTGCAGCCAATCAGCAGCTGCAAGGGCCTATTCTGCAGCCAATCAGCACCTGCATAAGCTATTACTCTGCAGCCAATCAGTGAGGCAGATGAAGCTTTCCGCTTCTTGAGGGCTTGAGCCAGTCATAGCAGTGGGCGATGCCATGGAAATTTGGGCGCCAATTTTCTTCTCGGAGAGGCCATTCTTCACTATGTTAATGAAAACCACTCCTCGCTTTGACTCCAATGGCTCCATTCCTCATGATTAACCCTGTTTTATTTTTCTTACGCTGTGGTCATTAAACGCTTCCCTACCCATTAAACATGTACAAGCCACTTACTACTTCTAAATTACATTCTTGCTGATGGTTTGGCTACCCAACTCGAATGTAAGCTCACTTTGGGCAGGGTTGTTTTGGTTTTTTTTTCACTGCTATTTCCTGTAGTCCTGAAATAGTGAGGGTTCTTTGTATTCATGAATAAATATTCATTTAATCGTGGACAGTCGGAGGGGGCAGGGCCTCAGAGTTTCACGTAGGCATATGTTTAGCTTTTTCAGATCCCGCCAAAGACTTTCCAAAGTGGATGAACCCGTTTACACTTCCACCAGCAACATATGTGAGTCCAAGATGCTCCACATCCTTGCGAACACGTGATAGCAACTAATCTTTAATTTTAGCTATTCTGGTGTTTGTGTGGTGGTATCTCATTGTGGTTTTAATTTGCATTCCCCTGAGTTGGTAACGTTATTGTCATATTCTTATTAACCATTTGGAAATACTTTTTTTTGGTGAAGTGCCCATGTAAACTCTTTTTATTTATTAAAATTTGGTTGGTGGGTTTTTTTAAACTGTTTCGAAGCAGTTATTTGTATATTCTGGATATTTATATCATATATAGACACCTAACAGATATCTTCTTCAAGGCTTTGCCTGCTTTTCACTCTCTTAATGGTATTTATGATTAAGAGAAGTTCTTAATTTCAGTGAAACTCAATTTATCATTTTAAAAATTTTATGGTTAGTGATATTTCTGTCCTGTTTAAGAATTATTCGGCACAGGGCCAGCCCAGTGGTGCAGCGGTTAAGTTCGAACGCTCCACTTTTCAGTGGCCCCAGGGTTCACCAGTTCGGATCCTGGGTGCAGACATGGCACCGCTTGGCAAAAGCCATGCTGTGGTAGGCACCCCACATATAAAGTAGAGGAAGATGGGCACGGATGTTAGCTCAGGGCCAGCCTTCCTCAGCAAAAAGAGGAGGATTGGCAGTAGTTAGCTCAGGGCTAATCTTTCTCAAAAAAAAAAAAAAAAAATTGTCGGAATAGAGGGCGATTCTAAGTTTTGTTATCAAACTCTTCCTTTATCTTGCCAATATCGGACTCAGATGTTTTCCCATACTTTTCTAGTCCTACCTACTTGTTCTACTCCATTGTTTGGGCGAGACTTAATGAAAAAATTAGGAATCCACTTTATTCTAACACGTGAGGAGGACAGCTTATTTGCGGATCTCTCTCCAAGCTCTGTTGTTTCCCAGATGCTCTCTAATATTCCACCCCATATATGGGAAGCAGTTGATCCCCAGGTTTGGGACTGCTCCCTTCCAGGAAGAGCTATAATGGCACAGCCAGTCTCTATTACCCTGCGGGACTCTTCTCTTGTACCCCATAAGAATACCCTTTAAAACCAGAGGCAATTGAAGGATTACAACCCCTTATATTAAAATTCCTCAGTCACGGCCTCCTTAAATGACGTCCACCTCCCTATGATACTCCTATCTTACCTGTAAAGAAGCCAAATGGAGATTATCATTTGGTCCAGGACCTCCGCATAATTAATAAGGCCACTGCTCCTATCCACCCCATCATGCCTAACCCATGTACTATACTTTCCCAGATCCCAGAAAACTCTAATTGGTTTACAGTCCTGAACTTAAAGGGTGCTTTCTTTTGTACTCCTCTGGATGAAACTTCCCAACCTTTATTCGCCTTTGAATGGAAATTTCCTAATGAAGCTCTTCCTACCCAATTGACAAGGACAGTCCTCCTTCAAGGTTTTCAGGATAGTCCCCATTTGTTTGGCAGTGCCCTAGGCAAGGTTCTGCGGGATGTCCAACTCCCTGTCGGTGGTTTAATACAATATGTTGATGATATTCTTATTGGTAGTCCCACAAAGGAGGATTCTGATCACAACGCTGTCCTTGTCCTTAATTTCTTAGCCCCACGGGGATATCGAGTGTCCCCACAAAAGGCACAAATTTCACAACAGCAGGTGTCCTATTTGGCCTATGATTTAACCCCAGGACACCGGGTGCTTTCTATAAATAGGAAAAAGGCTATCCTCAAACTTGGACCACCAAAGACAAAAAAACAACTTCACTCTTTCCTGGGTATGGCAGGATTCTGTTGTTTATGGCTTCCTCACTTTGGGATAATAGCAAAGACTTTTTTTTTTTTGAGGAAGATTAGCCCTGAGCTAACATCCGCTGCCAGTCCTCCTCTTTTTTCTGAGGAGGACTGGCCCTAAGCTAACATCCGTGGCCATCTTCCTCTACTTTATATGTGGGACGCCTACCACAGCATGGCTTGCCAAGCGGCGCCGTGTCCGCACCGGGACCTGAACCGGTGAACTCCGGGCCACCGAAGGGGAAAGTGCGAACTTAACCTCTGCGCCACCAGGCTGACCCCTAGCAAAGCCTTTACATGAAGCAACCAGAGGACCTGATACAGAACCTCTGGAATGGACACAAAAGGAAGACAAGACATTCCAACAGCAATTTTCCTCCGCCCCAGCCCTGGCCTCTGCCTAATATCAACAAGCCTTTTACTCTTTATGTTGCTGAAAAGCAGGGCCAAGCCCTCAGTACCCTCACTCAAAGACTCGACGCAGAGACCCAAGTTGGATATTTCTCAAAAACTCTAGACTCGGTGGCTTTGGAATGCCCAGCCTGCTTAAGGGCTGTAGCAGCTACAGCTCTATTAGTTGAGGAGGCCTCTAAATTAACGGTGGGACAACCTTTAACAGTCATGACTCCCCGTCAGGTACAAGTTTTACAAACTAAGGGACATCAATGGATGACTGACTGGAGGGCGTCTAACTAAATATCAGGCCATCCTCCTAGATGCCCCTGAGATCATCCTCAAGGTGTGTCAAACGATTAACTCAGCAGACTTTACGCCCGGTCCTGACTACCGGGTCCAGGATTTGGAGCACACATGCTCTGAAGTCATAGGACAAGTGTACTCTAGCAGGTCTGACCTGCTGGATTCCCCCATAGATAATGTGGATGACACCTGGTTTATAGATAGCAGTAGTGTCATAGAACAGGGCCTACGCAAAGGCAGGGCTATGCTATAGTAAATGCCTTGCTCATCATCGAGGCACAAGCCTTTGCAGCCAATGCATCTGCCCAAAAGGCTGAACTCATCACTCTTACCCGAGCCCTTCACCTGGCGAAGGATACGGTTATTAATATTCACACTGACTCAAAATATGCCTTCTTGGTCCTACATGCACATGGGGCCATATGGAAGGAAAGGGGTTTACTCAATACAAAGAACTCCCCTGTCAAACACGGAGCAGAGATTTTGGCTCTTTTAAACTCTGTGCTTCTTCCAAAGCAAGTGGCTGTGGTCCATTGCTGGGGGCATCAGAAGGATTTGTCCCTTGAGAGCAAGAGTAATAACTTTGCTGACTGGGGAGCTAAACGGGCAGCTAAACAAAGTAATCTTTTAAGCTTACTCCCCATTCCCCCTGCTTTAGGCCTTATTAGTCCTATTTATACAAATCAAGAGATAACCCTGGCTCAAGAAAAGGAGATATACCCAGGAAACAAAGCAGTCTTGGCTAATTAATGACCAGGGAAAAATTTTCCTATCTAAAAGTCTTCAATGGAAATTAGTTAATGGAATTCATCAGGCTGCCCATTTTGGCAAACAATCATTGACTCAGCTACTATCTAAATCCTTTGATGGACATACTTGTCATGCCACCATTAGGCAGGTCTGCGGCTCTTGTGCTACTTGTGCTCAAGTAAATCTAGAGGGGACAGCTAAACCACCTCCTTTGTGACAAATAGAAATGGCAAGCAATAGGATATATTGGCGTATATGAGGAATTGGCGTAAATTTATAATTTGGTGTAAACCTAATTTGGCCTGACTTTGTTTTTTCCAAAAGGGCCTGACTGTGGCCATTGAGCATGCATTGTATATCTGCTTTAAACATTTACTATGGCAAGAACAAATGGCCTTAAGATAAAGGTGCAACTTCCCCTCACATTGGTGTTTCCTTAAGGATAAGCATCTTTCCTTAGACTAGGAACCAATTGCTGTGCTCACCTTTGACCACCCAGCTCACCTGGGACCACCCAGCTCGAGACAGCAGACCTGCCACCCTGCTGTGTTCACTGACACAGCAGACCTACTTGCTGTTTCCATCAATCACTGTGCCGACAGAGCAGTCTCACGACTATTGTAAGAGGGACATTTCAATCCTATGTGAAACATCCTCTTTGGGGGTATATAACCACTCTGTGCACCCCACTTCTTTGGTGCCCTTTCTTCCTATGGGAAGAAAGGCCCTGGGCCATGGTCCTCACATTTTAGCTCAGAACAAACTCACCCAAATTTTCATTTATAGATTGGTTATGGATTATTTTTGTCGACATTTGTTATGGCCTGTACGATGGGGCACCTATCTGGGGGACGATTGGCAACTGAATTTTACCCAAATGCCTTCATGTCATGGCTATAAATATCTTTTGGTATTTGTCCATACCTTTACAGGCTGGATTGAGACCTTTCCTTGTCAAAGTGGACAGGCAGTCAAAGTAACAAAGGCCCTTTTAAGGGAAATTATCCCACGCTTTGGCTTGCCTAAGACCTTACAGAGTGACAACGGCCCCTCTTTCATAGCTCAAATAACACAACAGATT